CCAAACAAATTCTTTACCTTAGACTTTTCCTTTGTTCCTTTCCTTTCCTTCTCTTTTTTGGCTTTCTTGGGTTTTTTTGCCTTTTCCTTCTTTTTCTTTCTGCTTTTTTCTTCCTCTTCTTGTTTTGCAATAATATCATCAATAACCTGGTAAGAAACACAATAATCACTGTATTGAAATAGATCCCGATCAAGAGGAGGACTGTCTTTCCTGTCTGAAAGGAAGTATTTGTGCTGGCCCCTGTCACACTGCTGCCCTGCTCTGGCCCCTGGAGGCTGTCCCCTTCTGGGCGTGGCGGGGCTCCCTGCCTGCCCTCCACCTGTGGTCGGATCCATCTGAGGGAGGCAGCCATTGGCTTTCAGGGGCAGATGGAGAGAGGCTGGACATTTCTCAGCCAGTTCCCTCCCTGATTCCGAGCTGCTCCTCCACAGACACTAGGGGCGGTCACGGCTTCCGCGACATCTCAGTAGCGGTTGGATGTGCCAGCTCTGCCCACAACTCGTCCAAGTCCACACCGAGCATGTTTCCATTTCCTGTCTGGACTCTGATGGCAACAGCTGCTCTTGTGATATTAATAGCTTCCCAGTTCCATGAATGACCACGTGTCTCTTCTCAGAGTTGGTGTCTTTCAGCTGTGACTTAATTTCTATTTCCTACTGTGACAAAAGACCATTTATTCTCCTAAAATTTAAAATACTTGTTAAGAAGTATCTGGTTCACATAGGATTAGCATCACTGGAGAATTAGTATAGATTCGTAAAAAAACATAAAATTCAGTTCAGTACAACAGGTGCTTGTTGGGCACTCACTGCCACAGAGAGCTGTGAATTCTGGGAGGTGGAAAGGTGACCCTCACAGACAAACTTCCTGTGTGGCCCCAGGGCCCTGCTCGTCACGGGTCCCGTGGCTGCCACAAGATGCATAACCTACCGAGACTCAGTTTCCTCTGCTTTGCCTCGTTTTATGGCTAAGGGAAGTGGGCACAGAGTTCAGGAGCTCGGCCAAGGACACACAGCTAGTAGGTAGCTAAGCTGGGATTTAAACCAGGACGAATCTCATAATGCAGAAAGAAAAGAGGCAACATGCGAAAGAATATGCGCCAATTTATGCTACAGTATGAGAAGCCTACAGTCAAATTAAGAATCCACACACCACGGTCTCAGGTACACGCGTATGCAGTCCAAGCATAAAGGAATGTAACAAACTCCAAATTCAGT